CTTATCCTTAACAAGCTCTCTCTTCACCTGAACATTCAATTAACGGTGTAAAGATAGTGCGCGGCTCTTCACCACTAGGCGTGAATTACTGGCACGCGACGATCTAATCCCTTGGGGCTCACAATAGATTCCGAACACTTGAGATTTGCTGTGATACAACGCCGTGGCTGAGATATGGGGTGAAAAACTGTGTGTTCTTTTCACTAAACCCGACCATTAAAGCACAATGGGCAAAACAAATTACAAGGTGGTGGAAAATGGACGTAAATTGCCAGTTAAAACGAGGAATAAAATATGTGCAGATGATACGTATTAAATGAGGACAATTTCACGCATTTAACACCGGCCCCCGAAAGGTTAGAGATTGTTTCATTATATATTTCCCCGCGCGGGAAAAGCAAGAGATGTCATGCAATGCTAAAATGGGGGCAAGTGAAGGCCAGAGAAGACTAAATGTGTAATTTGCGTGTGATAGTTTAAACCTTCACTTGTTTTCCACAACTGTTCTTTTTTCTTTCATCCTACTAAAAGGTATAGCAAACAACCATTGAATAAAAAATGAGTAATTTCACTTGAAAAGAACTGCCCACTTTTTTTCTCCGATTTTAAAGTTTCTTTATTAAAAATGACACTTGTCGACTTACCTTACACACGCATTTGATGCACGGGTCCGTAGAAATTCCTTTTACTATGACTTCTTCTCCTTCATTCTCGCACGCTAAACTGGAGCCTGATATATTAAGAGAAACAAATAGCTTTGAGGAATGATATTGCAACATACATGCAGTTTACTCAAAATAGGCATAAACATTGACGATGTAATGCACTCTAAATATTTGACCAAGCCGCTGGGGCCGTCATAAAAGGAACGGGATATTTAGCTTCTCGTGGTTTAGTCTTTGACCTTTGCCACATTCAAAGTGGCAATTTGTAGGGTACTTGCTGGTATATCAAGAGCGTGGTGGACCAATCAGTCCATTAAGTAAATCATCAAGTGCAACCGGGGGGAAGATCGAGCATGGCGGCTAGAAGGCCTAAATGTTATCAGGCTCGATGCTTCTGTGATTTATATGGTAGACCGCGTGAGTTAGGGGCTGATGAGACCGTCTGATATTATCGTTCTGATGTTGTTACGCTGGAATTTACCTTAGTATCTCTGCCAGCACACATATATGTATATATATAAAGTGCGTGGTATGCATTGTATACGCCTGGTCTGATTGTGACTAACTGGAAGGGGGGGGGAGACGAAGGGACAGCACGCTTCGGTATTCTTAATACTCTGATTGAATACGACCGGGCCCGCTCTCTTGATCTACCTGCACCCCAATGGTAACCAGACCCCTTACTTTTTTATTCAAAAATATTTTACCTCTGGTTTAGTGGGTAACTTAATAGCACCCCGGGCGTAATTACGGACAAAGATGATAATAAATAACCGGGTAAACGACAGTTTGTGAATTTTACTTTATGGCTGCCTTGTCACGGAAAGAAATGGTAAAACGTTGAAGGTGACAGGGGCAGTGAAATAGATCCTCCACATAGAATAGGGGCCCATTAATTCGCTCATTGGCGATCATTGCAACTTCCCCATGTAGCAATTGGACGTTGTGTCATTCTGTGCTCGGTTTGTGTAACGCAAGCACGTCTGAATCGTGTTCTTATGTCTACCACATGTTCATCCCCCATACATGATAGTTAAGCGATCTCTCTTTAGCGTACAGGTGCAACTGACGACTCGGGACAAAGCTCGCTGCGCGCCAACAATATTTTTTCTATTTTACCTATCTTCCCTCGGTTGGATTCTTTTCAGGTATTTTTACCAGCTGGAGGTGACAGTCCAGTTTGCTGTCTCTTTAAAAGTCGCTAAGTAGCTGAAGGCAAACGATATTTCTCCATTAAAGGGGTCGCTTTTAAGGCTTGAAGGCAAGACTAATGCACTGTCGAGATGGGCAAAACTGCACATGTCAAATATTACAGCATCAAGGTGACGCGTCCATGGCCCCCCGTAGTACAGACGCTGTCGACCGAGATGGGACTCTCTCTCTCGGGGAACATCTATCACCCATCCTCGCCAGCCAAGTGGCCGTCACGGAGAAAGAGAGTTAAATATATACACAATCCATTGAATTGTGCCTCGAGTTTTCAAGTTTTTTTCCACCTCAAAATAATAGACGCGTGCCACTCTTTTGACAGCCTAAAAAGTTAGGTCGTGTTTTCTTTGGCAAAGGGGAACAAAAACATCCCCACACGTGCACCAATTTTAAACGCTACACAAAAATACTAATCCGTAGCCGAGTTTACTCACCTGCGATCATTTGCGTCGTGGTAGTCCGGATCAGAAAAATACTGGTGACAAAAATACACAGCTGAACTGCTATGTGATCCAGGTATGCCATTACAGTTTGTCCGCCTGGGTCACTGGTTAATAAGTGAATTATTCCCAATAAATAAAATAAATAAGTAATGGTCGGAGCACTGTGACCGTATCTGGACTCCAACTTTGTCGTCGTAAAATAACTCATTGA